CACTAAATTGATCCCGATTGCTGAGAATAAGAAAAATACGGTGAACACAATCAAGAACATTCTTTCCAGCACAGCGGCCACCCAGTCCCATTCAAGCTCTACTATGTTTCTAGTGTTAAATGGTGACAATTGAATTTCAGTTGGTTTTAAGACACTGTGAATACTAGTACTTGACGGTACTCGGTTCAAATTTGGGATATTTAGAGATTCCGTATAGCTGGTATCCATAGGAGCGGCGAATGATTCAAGGGTGCCGGGTTCTTCTGAAAATCAACTTTGTTAGAAATGAAAACATTTATAAAAGAATTCTATAGGTTGGAAAGCATGATCGTAGAGTTTCTCCAAATTTTAAGCTTAAAAAACACTCGCTAAAACTTACCGATTCTCGACCATTTAGGCATAAGCCATTTTTTCGCTATAAAAATTCTATTTCACTGGAATAATCACATGTATTGGAAATTTCTTTTGATACAAGGAGCATAACCTACCGTAAAACTGTAATCAAAAGGCCCCGACACTATCAAGTTTAAGCTCAAAAATTTTGGCTCCGATAAGAGAACTGATGAATTGTTTATCATAATATAACAAGTAGTGAATTTCAAAAGTTTTAATTTTCACATCAAAGTACTGAAATTTCAAAAACTTTTGTGAGCCACGTGAATATTTTGAATCTCCCAAAAGATGGACCGTTAAGTTTTTGGGAGCAACGTGTTTTTTCAACAAATAAAACAGAAATATTAACACTTTCTGAATATTTTTCCCGAAATTAAAACTTTTGAAAACCACTACTTGTTATATTATGATAAACAATTCATCAGTTGGCAACTTATTTATATCTATGACAGAAACCGAGATAAAATGGCTAAAACTTAAAAGCTAGGAGCCCTTCTATTGCAGGTTTTTCGGTAACTTATTTTCAAAAAATATTATCACACTTACCCGCCTGCGAAGGCGATGAGTCAATAATCCCGATATCATGATTTTTGTAATCAGAGATTTGATTGAATTTTTGCGTTCCATCATTTGACGTTGCCATCAATTTCGAATGATCCCTAGCCAGTTTATACACTTTTGTCCACATACTATCTCTCCGTTGCATTCGTTTCCGTTGTTTCTCTTCCTTTGCTCTTTTGGCATATGCTTGCCTCATAACCAATGGCATCTGTATCCATACAAATGGAGCTATTCTATGAGTCCATTTCATTGTGTTTGATGCAGGGGGTGTACCGATAGATCCTAACTTTTGCACAAAAATTACTGATGACGCGGCTAGAGTCCCGAATGAGATGATGGTAATCATGAGTGTATAGAAGAGTCCTGAAGTTAGAATTCAGATGAATATCCATTTTTCTAGTATTACGTTTACCTATTAAAGGGACACAGGTAGAAGTTGAAGGCATTTTATCAGAAACCATGAAAATCATAATGGACATTGATAGAAGCGTCGTGATTCCCAACGTTATTTTTTCCTGCCTCAAATCATGAACCGATGATGATCTGAATAATGAAATAGTGAACTTTCAAAACTCCGTAGTACATAGATCTTAGTTACAGGAGAAGTTTTAGCCTAGAAGCATCACAACATCTACATCACCAAAGGTGGCTAATGGGAGAAGAGAAAAAACGGACGCACACGAAACATATCTGAACAAAAATAGGGACATATAGGGGTTAGATATTAGTTTCCAAACGCACACATTGCAGAAATTGGTGAACGGATTGACTGACGTGAAAAATCCGATGATTGATATGAAGGTGATGACTGCGGTGGGTGCAATGAGGTTGAGAACATAGTAAAGAGGCTTTCGTTGAATCACTACGTCGTAATGAAGCAAGGTGTAGTTGTTTGGACAGCAAGAGTACTTCTTTTCCTGACGGTCTACTGAAAACAACTTGAAATTTAGTATAGATATTACTTGTTGACGATCCGATTCCGGGCCGACTGATAACTCGCTTCAAAATGGGAATTGTGAGCAAAACATACCAAATGATAGACCTCGGCGAGCTCTACAACGTCCAAAAAAATCGACCGGCTTCGAAAGCGCTATCATGATCCGGGCCAACGTTTACCATTAAATCAGTGAACGGGTGCGGACCGAAATTTGATAGTAGTGCCGGGCGAAAATCGCCAGCCCGGACCAAAATACCGCTTTTGAAGCTGGCTGATTCTTATTGGTGGTTGTAGAGCTATCCGAGCTCTACCATCTGGTATGCTGTTTGCCCATAATTTTCATTTTGGAGCCAGTTATCAGCCGGCCCGTAGACAAGTATGGTAGGGATTTTTTGCTTTTTTGAATTTTGTGAGATATTTTTATTCATTAATAGCTAACTCAAAAGAAATTGAGCAAATGATGATCTTGAAAATTATCTTTTATGTCTGTGATTTTACGTATTGCAAGAGTTCTAGAATGTGGGTAGGAATGCAAAGCAGTTCATTCGCTAATCCTCACCAGAAGTGACAGACACTCATTTCTAAAACTATTTTTTGAATGTTCTGAACTTTTGGTTTTTGGCATTTTCTATGAAAATAAAGCAATTATTCACTCACCATGTGTGACCAACACACTCCAAGCGTCGTTTTCCAGAAAATTCTGAAGTCCAACGGGACCATTTTTGAAAATATGGGGATAATAGTCAATTAAGCTATTATCAAACGACCAGCTTCCAAACGTCATTCTGCATTTCTAAAGGAATTAACACTAACTTGCTTGTCTGTAGTAATTCAACCTACCTGCATATCAAACGGGAAGAATCTCAGGTTTAGGAGACAGCTAATTTTATAGATTGTCGGGTATAGAAGTTCTATTCTTGCACCTCGTTGTTTTCCTAATGTAGTAACCTTGACATGTGTGAGTTTTTTTGATGCAGAGTCGTCCATCTCGAGGCTGCAAGTTTAGGAACGAAAAATCATTTTATCCGAATTTTCTAGACTCACGAATTATACAATGTAGTATCCGGCAGCCAGACATCATCATGTCGAACCATTATTTCCGTTTCATTGTCGAATTCGTCAGGATCCCA